CCGGACATCGAGACTCAAACGGTCTGCACTGCGGTCCGGACGTCTGGACTGGTCCAGATCGCAACCATGAGTGGAACCACTCAGCATCATTTCACAAAAACAAGAAGGCACCACAAACCCAGCTTCTTGAGGAGACTCGCCCCTGTCGGTGGGTGAAAAATCAAGTGCTTGGTGAATTCTGCTTCAGAATGATACGCGGACATCAAAGGAGAGGAGACTCGCCGCTGTCCGTGTCCAAAATCCAAAATTGGATGGCAATATGTTTCGGCGAAGAGACATCTGAAATGAAAACCCTTTCATTTCAGATGGAAGAAAAATGATAAACTGTTTAAACCACCACCACTACGTCCAAGCGTCTTTTTGACGATGTCAACGGATCAGGGCTCACCCTGGGCTGCCCGCAATTTAGGCCTGGTAGGCTGAGCCTGATGGCAGCCCTACAGGGTGTTAACCAGCATTGTCAAAAGGACATGTTGCAGCATACCGGTAGAAGAATGAAAGGAACGACGATGAATGCATGACAATCATCCTCTGCGCATACACGATGTAGGCCCTTCTTATCGACCGATTTGTGGATGCAGTTGTGATCTCATGCATCCAGCACTGGCTGTCATTGTGGTCAGATACATCAGGAAAGGCCTAGTGAGCGACTCACACTAGGATTTTCCTGGAATGATCTCACCGGAATTACAGCCAGACCTTGATGTACCTGACCACAATTACGTCCAGAGTCAGTCGAAAAAGTCTTAGTTTCAGTATGCTCTGAGACGGCAATGAAGGGCAAGGCAACCATCCCCCACAAAAACACATCCTAAGCAACACACACGTTGTGTTTGGGGGAAGCAGACGTACCAGATTTTGCTGCAAGAACCAATTTTTCACAACGTTCACGACCTCTGGACGGACACTGCGAGACAGCAATTGATGATAACGTTTTGTATGTGGCAGAAAGTCCGACGCTTCGACAATCTCTCTCCACGTTTTGCAACAAGCGCGAACGCTCTTCAACACTTGCTGCCTGCAAAACAGATACCATCAGTCAGAAGGGTGCTGCTCTTTCTTCCGTTTCTTTTTTTTTTAATCACCTTCATTCCCTTTCCCATTTTTCTTTCCCTCCAAACAGAAACCAGCAGTCAGAAGGCTAATCTTTGAGAGCAGGGGTGGGGGGGGGGGGGGGAGAACAAAAAAAGTAAACAACGAGTGTCAGTCCTTCGTCTACACCTGGTAGTTTGGGGGGACGATTCGATGAGGAACCTATCTAACGTGTCAAACACTCCGCCTGGTGAATACCATCGCTAATTTTGTACATCAATACATGTTTCTAACTTTCTATACTGATACACATCTTTCTGATGTGTACTAGCTTTTTCTGTATACTTTGAAGCGCACGCATCTCTTACCATAATTCTGTCTTTTCTGTGTTAAACACTCTGCCTGTTGCATCTTCTACAGTCTCTACATACCTCGGTACAATCTGCATTTACCTTGGTACAGTCTCCACCAGATCTCGGTACAATCTGCACATGCCTTGGTACAATCTCCACGTACCCGGTATGTCTTGGTGCAATCTGCATGTACCTCCGTACATTATCCACATACCTCAGTACACTCGCACATACCTTGGTACAATCTCCACGTACCTGGAACAATCTCCACATACCTGGTACAGTTTCCAGGTCCCTGGTACAGTCTCCATGTACCTGGTACAATCTCAACATACCCAGTACAATCTCCACGTACCTGGTACAATCTCCACGTACCTGGTACAATCTCCACATATCTGGTACAATCTCAACGTATCTGGTACAATCTCCACGTATCTGGTACAACCTCCACCAACCCGGTACGATCTCCACGTACATTGGTGCGATCTGCCCTTGCCTTCCTACAACTTCATTGCTAGTACTCTGTTCGACCTACAAATCTTGCTCGTTTTTTATTTTTAAAAAAAGCATCCACTGGGCGTGTTGGTAGAGCTGATAAGAGCAGCCTCTGTCCCCACCCCAGTCCTGATTGCTCCACTCTATTGGTGGGGAGCAGCACCTGCTGGAAAGTGGGTCCAGTTTCCCTTGAGTACAGAATGCAAGTTTCCAGAGAAGAACATCTGCTGAGCCTTGGCATCTACTGACTGCCTCTTCAGCCTTCATCGGGCCTCCAGATAAAGCATTACTAACTGGCAGTCTCAAAAGCTGAGGCCTTGGAGAGCTCAGAATAGACCTCCTTTTCTCTTGACACTGCCATTCCAGACTTGACTCTCGCTCTCCTAACTTTCCCGCCCTTTCCCGCCCTTTCCCGCCCTTCCGAACCAATGCAGATCTAGCAGACTTGCCACCTCCCGCCCTTTCCTGCCCTTTCCCGCCCTTTCCCTCCCTTTCCCGCCCTTTCTCGCCCTTTTCAGCCCTTCCGAACCAATGCAGATCTGGCAGACTTCTATTCCTTATTTGGTTGCAAAAGGAGATGTGATACGATTCTGAAACCTTTCCCCTTTACCCTCCAGACCATGAAAGTCCACCACAAAGAGCTCGCCCACCTAGGCCCAATCTCCAACGCCTGAATAGTATCACCTTTTCCCTTTACCCTCCATACCATGCCAAGTCCACCACAGAGAGCTCGCCCACCTTGGCCCAATCTCCAACGCCTTGGTTCAATTCATGAGTACCTCGGCACCATCTGCCCTCCGCTTGCAACAATGTGCCCGTACCCCGCTGCGACCTGGCCCGCCTTTCTTTCCTCGATCCGACTGCAAGTTACTTGCTATAGCCTTCACGGGCATAATCTGCACCTACCTTCGTCCGATCTTGATCCTCCGACCTCCGTCGAAATTGATTTATTTGGCAAATTGGCACCCCACCTACAGCACCCAACCTCAGTGCGTATTCACACTAGCACTATCGTTACTGTATGTTTCTGACCTCGTTTACAGCCAGACCTGGATGTATCTGGCCGCAATTACACCCAAAAATAAGTTAAAAAGTCCTATTTCGAGTATGCCCTCAGTCCCATGCACTTATATCCTCTTTACCACCACGATCCATTCAACCTGTGGGAACCTCAGTCCCATCTTCAGCCCCTCAGTAAACTCTGCATACTCACAGTATAATTTTCGGGGATTTATCAGCCAGACCTTGATGTACCTGACCACAACTACGTCCAGAGACAGTCGAAGAAGTCCTAGTTTGAGTATGCCCTGAGACGACAGTGAACACAAGGCAACCATCCCCCACAAAAACACATCCTACGCTCTGCAGCGGCTTGATTCGATTTACAGGAATCGAGGTGGTAGGGTCTCCAACAGCGGCCCCTCGTGGTATGATCTGGACCGCACCATTTTTTTCTTCTTTTTTTTCCCTGCCACGAATGCAGCAAACACACATAAACGTGGGTAAATCCTGTCCGCACCTTTCACGATCTCCAGTTCCTCGACCCTCATATCCAAAAGTCGTGCAGCCCCTTGATCCGCAGACCAGAGTGGTGCAGTTCCAGAGTTCCAGTCCCAGAGCTCCAGAGTTCCACAGTTCCACAGTTCCACAGTTCCAGTTCCTCGATCCACAGACCAGAAAGTGGTGCAGTTCCAGAGTCCCAGAGTTCCAGAGCTCCGGTTCCTCGATCCGCAGATCAGAGTGGTGCAGTCTGTGTCGATCCTCTATCGCACAACTTACGGAACTTCAATCAGATCTGTAGTGAAATCTACGCTTAACTTGGTTCCGATCTGCCACCATCCCGTGCTCGCAAAATGTTTTTTTTTTTGGGGGGGGGGGGKGTTTGGTTTCTAACAGAATGCATTCGGCTTGCTGCAGTTCCAGGCAGCGGTGAATTACCTTGATCCTCGATCCAACGACCTACCAGCAGCTCGATCTGCAGTCTGTTAGATCGGCACAATCTACTCGTACCTTGGTTGCCATGTGCCGCCATACCCTGGCATAATGCCGCGTGCTCTCTTTTGTTTCTTAGCAAGTAGAATGCGTTCTGCTTGGTGCATTCTCCAAATACTTTGGTTCCATCTGCCCCACCCCTCCATCAGAAATTTGGAGAAAGCACTTTTTTTCTTTTCCCTGTGTTCTTTCTTTTTTCCAATATAAACAGCCGTCGACGCCGAATTTTTCATGGATTCATTTATGAGGAAGAAATTGACCTCGGAGTTCTGGGATGCAGTGAGGAGGGCGTGGCTTAAGCAACCACCAGAGGTGAGGGAACCAACGAAGACTAAAGAGGAGGTATCGAGGCAAGGGTTGTTTGAGAATTATTTTATTTTGAATGAGGAAGGCTCGGTCTTTCGGGCTAATGGAGCCCCGGGGTCATTCGGCAAAGCATGGATACGAAGGGGAGTTTCAAGAATAGCGGATCTGTGGTCTGAACCTCTGGGAGTGTGGAAGCCGTTCGCAGAGGTTCACCAATCCCTACAAGGGCTCTGGCACACAGAGGAGCACTGGCAGCAGATACTAAGGGCCATTCCAGCAGATTGGCAATTCCTACTGGGCCCTGAGGGTGTAGACCCGGTGGGCACGTGGTACGTCTCACCACCTGAGCAGGGTAGAGAGGAACAGTGGGAACTTCAGGGGCTAACACAAGGAGGATTCAGAGAAGTCCAGAGATGGTCTACAGCAGATCAAGGGCCCACTCTAGTCCCTGTGGGAGAAGATGTAATACGACAATGGACTAACCCACCACAGGCAAGGGTCATTCGTCAGCGGAACCGAAGGGGAACTGTCCGGTCCACAATCTGGGTGGGGAAAACCTCCCTCAGAGAGCTGACAATCGACCCAAGGGCATGGAGTTGGAGAGAAGGAGTGGCCTCAAGGGCAAACCCTAAAGGCTTGAACCTATCAAATTTCTCAGTGGCAGAATCCTACAGGCTGGCAAACAGAAGAGAAAGAAGCCCCGCAAGGGTAGCCGTGGTCAGATGGGGTGCGGTTCTAATGAAGGATCTACAGGAAAAAGAAGGCGATTTTTTAAAGTTGTGGAATGTGCTGCTCACTCTACCAGACCTCGAACAAGCTAGTCTTCTATGGATGCTTTCTCTCCTGGTGACTCCCTCAGCGGTGTGGCTCTGCAGCAGAGGGATGGAGGAGGTGTCCCAGAAATGCTCACGCTGCTCCTGGCCGTTCGAGTCTACCAAACACTTGTGGTGGGACTGTCCGGCGTTGAAGAGAGTGTGGAAATGGTGGGAGGATCATTGGAGAAGAATGGGAGGGGAAGGTATCGAGTGGGACGAGCAATGGGCCCTACTGGGGTTTGTGAATGAGGATCACTCAGGAAGGGAGGGATGGCCATATGTGGCCCATGTGGCTAGAGCAGTCGTCTGTTCCGTCATCTGGGCTGACAGGAACCGGTCCAGATTTGAGGGGCGGCCGCTCTCGGACCTGGAGATCAAAGCAAGGATTAAGCAAGGTCTGAGAAGAGCCATCTGGGCTGACTGGTGCAGGAAAGTCAGGAGCGGTAAAGGCCCAAGGAGACATCTTTGGCGGTTCTTGAGATCCTGGGGTAAGGGAAACCAACTGGCGGGGGTGCACTCTGTACGAGGATTGGTGGTCTCCAAGTGGCTATGCGCGTAGTAGGCTAGGAAGGGATGGGATTGGGAGTAGGAGAGGAAGCTAACGCAGTAGAGTGGACCAGGCTATCTCGGTCAGTAGGGGGGAGGCTAGAGAGTACCAAGGCCATAACCAGGGCACTCGGTTCTTTAGGAACGCAGTGGTCCAGTAGGTGAGTGCTGTAGAATAAGGAACGAAGGATGCGTTCCACCAGATCGGATAGATCTGGTCGTCGAAGTAGACGGAGTAGGTAGGTAGTGTTAGCAGAACTGTGTTGAAAGAGAAGAGGGTACGAGCAAGGGGAGGAAGATCTACGAGATGGAAAAAGAGAGAAAGTCAGTAAGTTGTTTTCATTGGGAATTGTTGTGTTTGGCCTCCAGTTCTGCTGGGACCGTAAGCTAAACTGGCTGACGCTGCCAGGATAACACCGGGTTGAATTGTGAGGATCCCCGGCCTCGAACGATGTKTTTTYTTRMAAMRAAAWRAATDT